GTAAATATTGTCCAGTGCAGTCTAAGTGAAATACAATAATATAATAGAATCAGAATCTGAATAGTCTTACTGTTTAACACTAGGTGCCATAAACACCATGTAAGGGTAGTGTTTTGAAGGTGTTCAGAAATAATATAACAATACCATATAGAAAATTATTAATGTTTGATTTTTTTTCTATAAGCACATTCAAATAAATGTTGTAGCAATACCACTGATTTATCACAGAGCCCAATACAATAACCTGGAGGCTAGAGCTAGTATGCTAGCTCCAGAAACAAACATACTAACAAACTCACCAGTTCCCACTTTTAGAAAATACAGCCACCTGAAGGTTTTTTCACAGCCATTTAAAAGTTGAGAGGCATATCAGTCATCTGTTCCCGGACATAAATAAATAAATTTAAAAATTATGTTCCGTTACCGGAAGCATGATCGGTACCATTCAACCGTGTGCCTGGGCGCAGGAGAGGTGCGCCAAGAATCTTCCTATCTCTTGTAATGAAGAGGAGCTAACTGCACATCTACAACTTTTAACGAGAGTCTATGGGCAAAGATTCTAGCGCCCCCAGACAGAAATACATAATCAATTAGCAACAACTTTTTTTTTAAATTAACAACTATGTCATCAATCAGAGCCAATGTTTTTGAACGAAAAAACTTTACCCACCATTAACTATAAAATATTTATCATACACAAATAAAAAATATGCATATATTTTTTAGTTTTTATTATATTTTTATTTTATTAATTTATTTTATTGTGTTATTTTATTCTGTCTTCAAAATAATATGTGAGTGGATTGAGAGGTGGGGTGGTGCCCTAGTGCCCCCTACTGATGAGCCGCCTCTGATCTAAGGACAACAGGTAAATCTAAAGAGTGATGAGAAATTCAATTTGAGACCAAATGTAAATTAAATTGAAAAACGTACTTGTGAAGTATTCAATGATTTGAACAGTTACTGAAATGAAACCATGTAAAATGGTAAAATTATGTTGTTTGCTAAAGTATTAACAAATTTGACGTGGAATTTGACATTCGCTAACAATGTGTTCAATAAATTTAAGATGCCAAAAATGTGTGAAAATACTGCTTATGGCAATGCCAAAAGTAGAAGAGTATAATTTTACCCTCTGACACATTTCTCTTAAATTAATTCCCATGGATTTAACAATGTGAACATTACTTTACCTGCTAACATTACGCGCAAATTCAGCAGTAACCTTGGTAATGTACAACTAGTGGCCAAGCCATATACAACCAATGCAGTCATAAAACAACACAGCAGCATTTACAGATTAAAGAACTGAAATCTAAATGGTTTATACAAATAAATAAATAAATAAATAATAGGTTTATTCTATCAAGCTGACATGTGGTAAACAAGACTGTAAACTGATAAAAATGTGAAGTAAGAGAAAACTTACTTTAGCACAGTGATATAATAAACTGTATTTGTTTACATCATGGTGTGATATCATAAGTCTCATACAAAATTAAAGCTATCACATTTACACTATAACAAACTCAGAACATGGAAACAATTGAAATAGTTTTGTGAGAACACTTGCAATAATATTTGATGTTTCTGCATTTTTCAAATACAATTTTTTTTTCAGAGCATCAAAGAAGAAGCATGTAATTTACCCTGAAATCAGTGAGCAGCATTTTGTAATTAGAAAGTAAGCCACATTGTCCTAAACAGCCTTCTTGAGCTGTGGGTATGACTAAGCCTGTTGTGTGGCTGTGCTGCAGCATCAGCACAGAGAAGCCTTTTTTTTTTTTTAAGGTAAGCCTGTGGTCCTTAAAGCTCAGTCCCAGTAAAGCACAGGCTCTACTTGGGACATACAGTATTTCAGACACGTGTGCAGAAAACAAACACAAATAAATAAATAAATAAATAAATAAATAAATAAATAAATAAATAAATAAATAAATAAATAAATAAATAAATAAATAAGCAAATAAATAATACTAAAAACATCTAACAAGAACCTCAAGCCTTCAAACCTGTAAAATAGAAAGGTGAATAGAACAAGTATGGTACACAATGATAATAAAGTGTGGTTGTGTGTGCTGTTTGCACACTGGCTGACATGTTTTATATTCCATGTACATCTCATGATCATAGTTTTATTCCCATTTATTCCAGTTTTTGCTAATGTTTTACCATGTCACACCTGGATCCAGTTTGCTAATTGCCAATCAGCTTTTGTTCATTCATCCTTAGATTGCCTCAGTATATTCAGCACAGTGGCCTTAGTTTTTTAACAAATCGTTGTGATTTTCTTGTCTGTTAGGCATAACTTTAGATCAGCTTTTTTTTTTTTTTTTTTTTTTTTTATCAATTGAATATATCCTGCTGTTGGAATGTTCTTGATTTTGTTTTGTAATAATAAAATATTTTATTGTCTTGTGTTTGTACGTGGATCCTACACCTACTTTCCCACCATAAAATAGTTTTGAATAAGCAAGAGAGTGACTTTTTATTCACAACATTTAGGTTTCATTTTCTAGAAATTTAGGAGGACATATTGTCAACTAGGATCTGCAAAATAATCAACTTTAGTGCATCATATTTATTCTAAAATCACTTTAGCCTAAATTAAAAAAATGTATGTGTACTTAATGTACTGATGGATATTTATGTGACACCAAAGTTATTGTAAAAAACAATTGAAATTAACGATGTTCAAAATGGCAACATACAAAAATAATATTGACAAAAACCCATGTAAATGGGACTATCATCATTTTTAGTGTGGTGCGTGTGTGTTTGTGTTTTAAATGTTTCAGTATTATCAGGTCTACTTTTTTAACAATAAAAATACACTATATTTGATGATACCAATAATTTATGTAAATATCTTAAATCTGAAAATAAATTTAAAAAAATTTCATAATAGTAATAATATGTAACAAGATCTGCAATAAATCTTAACCTAGAGATTGCTGGGTGGTAAGAAAGAGCAGCCACATAACTGGGCTACTACAGCAACAGTAATTAGAGAGTCAGGTAGGTACTTGGTGTGTCATCTGGACAGAGAAACGTTGACATGGAAAAGTGGTGATGGAATAGTGTAGTGCATGGAGCTATCCAAAGAAAGAGGTTAGTCAAGAAGATAATATGACAGTGAGAGGACTGAAGAGACTACACAGGAATATAAAGAGATGCAATATAGAACAATGTGGAAGATAGCAGATGCCATATTTGCTTTGAGGATGCTGCTAAAGAAGTACAGAGAGGGTCAGAATGAACTTCATTCCTCTTTGTGGATTTAGAAAAAGCATATGACAGGGTGCCGAGGGAGGAGGTGTGGTATTGCATGAGGAAATTGCAAGTGTGGCAGGGAAGTATGTTAGAATGGTGCAGGGCATGTTTCAGGACAGCAGAGCTGTGGTGAGATGAACTGTAGGAGTGACAGATAGCTTCAAGGTAGAGGTTGGTTTACAATACATCAAGGATCGGCTCTGAGCCTCTTCTTGTTTGCTCTGGTGATGGACAGACCAACAGATGATGGCAGGCAGGAATCACTGTGGACTACGATGTTTGTAGATGACATTGTGATTATGGGTGAGAAGAGGGAACCGGTGGAAGAGAACTTAGAGAGGTGGAGGTATTCACTTGAAAGAAAAGGAATGAATGTCAACTGTTGAAACACATAGTACATGTGTGTAAATGAGAGGGAGGTATGTGGAACAGTGAGGCTACAAGGAGCAGAGGTCACAAAGGTGCATGACCTTAAGTACTTTGGGTCCACTGTCTATGAAAATGGGGAATGTGGTAAAGAGGTGAAAAGGAGAGTCCAGGTAGGATGGAATGGGTGGAGAGGTTTCAGGAACGATTTGCTGCAAAAGAGTGGCAACATTGGTGAGACCAGCTATGTTGTATAGTTTGGAGACAGTGGCATTGACAAAAAGACATGAGAAACAACTGGACGTTGCAGAAATTAAGATGTTGAGGTTCTCCTTAGGATGGATACGATTAGGAAAAGCATCAGAGGTACAGCACAGGTTAAACAACTGGGAGATACATTTAGAGAGGACAGACTGAGAAGGTTTGGACATGTCCAGAGGAGGGACAGTGGATTTACTGGTAGAAGGATGCTAGGAGTACAGTTGCCAAGTTAAAGACAAAGAGGAGATACAGTACATGGATGCAGTTAGAGAGAATGTGGAGTTGGAGTGAAGAAAGAGAATGCAGAGGACAGAGTGAGATGGAGGATGATGACTTGCTGTGGCAACCCCTGAAGAGGAAAAGCCAAAAGAAAAAAGAAGAGGGCTTATACATTGTGTCCAGAAAGAGGAAAAACATTAGTCCACTGTGATATAAAAATATCATTTATCAGTTTGTGGTTTTTTTGCCCACTGCAGAGTAATAGCATGAGAAGAAGATGAATTGTCACTGATAGAGAGCACATTGTGAGCATTGCGTTAAGTTGAAAACATCTCCTGGGTCTGCTTGATGTCTGTTCAGTTTACATGGATTCCTACTTCATCTTATTGTGTCCACATAGACTTCTCAAAATTGGATCAGTTATTTATTTTTTTCTTTAAATTGGTATCACTATTATTGAATTACAAAGGGCTACATTTACCACTAGTCTTGCTTTTCTCTTGTTCTGCTTATATTCATACTTTTTGTTTATCTCTTTCTAACAGCAAACATGCCATCCTCAGATCTGTTCTTTATCTTTCATAAATAAATGTTATCATAATTTTGCATTTCTAACACAGATACATTTTTTTTTATAATGCTGCGTCAACTTTATGTTTAAAAGAAGTTTTAATCTCAGTGTGACTGTCACCCTTTTGATTTTTTTTTTTCCTTTTGCATCTTGCTCCACCTTTCTCCTTATGTGATGAAAAAGGCATTTGAAATGCTAAGTGATTTAAATTCATTCTTTGTGCCTGTTGAGTAGACTTGAATATAAATCCAATCTTTTATTCTTGTTCCTTTTTTTTTTCTTTTTTTCTGGTACATCTTTATGTGCTCAGCTTATTCACACCATCAGTGTAGTGGATAAAGATGAACCACAATCTGGGCATCGATTCGTCTTCACTTTACCTCCTGAAGCCACCAGCAGTCGTCACTTCATATTATGGGATGTCAAAGGTAAGCGAGCGAGTGTTCTTTTGAGCTTTATAAAAACTGATTAGGCACATTTTATAGTGCTGTTAATACTAACATTTCCATTTTTTGAGCTGATACTTTAATCAAAAGTCTGTGCTATATTTTATTGAAAGTGTAGTACTGTAGTACTGAGCTGATTAAAAAGAAGATACATTTGGCAGCATTACATTATTATTATGTATTTATTTATTGGTGGGGTGTTATATAATTATGTCTGTTAACAAGCATCTCAACAGAAACACTTCAGGACCAATTCATGAATGTGTCTAAAAAGTTTTGAGCCCTGTGCTCTCCATTTATCAACCATATTGTTGACATTGGCCTAAAAGTCTTACTTCTTCCTGATTCTACTAATTATTTCTAGTAACTTGTAATATGGATGATTACTGAATTCTCAAATTATGGGGGAGTGGTGGAGCAGAGGTTAGAGAAGGTGGGCCTGTGATTGGAAGGTCGCCGGTACGATTCCCCTGACCAACAACATCAAAAATGTGTGGGGAAAAGGTGAAATACCCACATCTCTCTCCACCCTCATTTGCCCCATTCTGGGCCCCTGAGCAGGGTCATCAACCCCTGGCCCTCTGCTCCACACAGAGGGCTGTGGTAGCTCGGTGGTCTGTGGTTGCATCAGGAAGGGTCTCCGGCATAAAAACAATTGCTAAGTCTTTGTGCGAGTCTGTTCGCTGTGGTGACCCCTGAAGAAGGGACCAGCCAAAAAGAGAAGAAGAAGAAGAAAAGGTGAATTCTTAAATTTCAGGCAATAACAAGCGGACATGCATTTTTTTTATTTTATTTTATTTTTTATATGCTGTATATCAATTCATTGCTGCCACAATTTCTAAATATCAACCATCAATGGATAACCATTAATTCAATTACAATAATGAAATGAGAATTGTTCAAGATCCTATTGGAGCTTGTAAAAATAAAAAAAAATGTAATGGTGTTGTTGATATACAATATTTTCCAGCGTATAAATTGCTCTGGAGTATAAGTCGCATCAGTCAAAAAAGGCATCATGAAAAGGAAAAAATAAAACATATAAGTCGCTTCGGCATATGTCACATTTATTATACACCACTGCTGACCCATCGTGTTTATTATGCGTTTATTTAATAGTCCAAACAGAATCATTTTGCCTGGGCGGCATGGCGCCATCTATTGCAGCCTGAGCCGTTAGTTCTCCAGCGTTCCTCTGCCTGCACCAGCTGAGTGAAGCAAGTGCACATGGGAGGACTTCGAAATTTAAACCATCAGTCAAAAATTGTGTTATGAATATGGAAAAAAAAACGTATATAAATCACTTCGGTGTAGAAGTCGCAGGACTGACAAATCTATGCAAAACAATAAAACTGCAACTTATACACCAGAAAATAGGGTAGTCAGCAAGTGACTGCAAAACATTAATTTGAGTAAATGCTTAACGGTGTTACTCAAATAAGCAAGGTGATACTGATTTAGATTGCAAGATGACATTTTCAAAACCCTTCAAATATTAATTAATGATATTATATTTTCTATTAGAGTAGTTCAGGTTGTTCAGATACGAGATGGTTGTATTTCTAAATAAAGGCAACACTGTGTGATTTCTTTGATTTATTATTTGACTCATTGCAATGGTGTTTTGAATAAACACCATCTTTTTGGATCCTCAAAACTCAGTCTTATATTCAGAAATGAGTAGAGGCCACCCTTGTTGTTTTACTTGTTCTAGCAAAACACATAATGTATTTTCTAAAAAATAAACACAAACAAAAAAAAACCCCACAAAATAAATAAAAGTAAAAACAATGATTTAAAATTCGTAATTTTTACACAACACCTGTTTATGATTTTCTTTTTGTCATAAAAACCTACACTATATCCAATATTTTCACTACATTTATCCTCAATATGTAAGAAAAAATAAAATAAAATACAGTCACCCTGTTCCCCAGAGATGACTTTGCTTTGTCGGAGATTTTTTTTTTTTTTTCTTCCTTGTATATATTTATTTATTTATTTATTACACATGCGCTTGCAAATTCTTCATTTAGAGATGTGTATATAAGTAAATGTGACACGTGGCTAAATTATGATTGATCTGACACCAGGGAAATGTCAGGGGAGCAGCCTAAGCCAGGAAAATGTCACGGTGTGAAAGTAGCAGGGTCTGCTATTGTCCTGGTCATGTACATTTGAATAGAGAGACACACGCACAAGCCTTGTACACCACACATATACATTTGTTACCACACATTACACTGGACAGGCAGGGGCTAAGCAAACGTATGAAATAACCCATGGCTTAATGCAAGTTTTTAGGTACAATGATCAAAATGTGCTATATGTTATACCTGACATCTAAATTTACCCACTAATGTAATGAGTATACTACAAGCAAATTTAAATGTAATTACTAATGAATTAATTCATGTGTGCATTACTGTATATATTCTGGTGAAAACCAAACAGAGCACCGCCCAGACTTTTAACCCACTCACTGGTGTATTTTTCATGGACACATTTGTCAACATGTCACTTTCAATCTGTCACTTCTTCTCTCCCTCATCATGCCCTCACATTGTATTTTGTCTCCAAGCCTTGACACATAATGATGACGAGGCTTCTTTTTTTTCCCCATGTTGCCGCACTTTATGAAGTTTGTGCAGCAGCAAAATAAAAGAAGTAGAAAAATATTTATAATAATTTCACCCACCTCAAAGTTTTTCTACTTTGATAAAATGCCTTCAATTTACCTAAAGAACATACAGCAACCATTTATGTGCATTGCTTTTTAGTGTGTAATTTAAAAACTGATTAAATGCATTATCAATGAACTGTCAATTTCAAATTTGTGACAGGATACCAATTATCACCACTAGTTTCTTAAATAGGAGCCTTAAAAGAGGGCAAAAATTACATTAAATACAAACATATCCCTTTTGTTCGAAAGACAAATTTTCAATCAATATCCATTTTTTATTTATACAAGAAGTGACTTTCAGTGAACATTTAAACATGAAACTGTGTGGTGTAAAAGTCAAAAGAACAAGTTGTTAGTTGAAACATTCCTGAACATAAACAGCAATATGAAAATTGTTCTACATGTGCCAGGGGAGTTCTAGGGTGACATAGATAACAGTGATAAATGTTCTGGGAGATGGATTACTTGGTATCCTCTATGCAAGTCTTCCCACCAGCCACCGTGACTCTATTTTTCAAAACCTCATCTTTTATTTTCAGTTACATTTATCTAAGTCTCAAGCAGGGAGCTCATATACACACTACTGTAATTTAATTTCAAACAGAAGCTGTCTCTCCTTTTTCTACTCTGCTCTGTTTCCTTAATAAATGCTTTATAAATGTTAATGGCAGAGAATCAGTTCACTTTTCTGATGAGATTTTATGAGTTAAAGAGGTCAACTCTTAAGTAAGGACACCCTCTGTCTGTAGTTCTTGAACTATGCATTGTGAAAAAAAAAGTATTTTTATTTGAGGATCTGCTCAGTTTCTTCAAAAGTTATTTTAAATATTACAGTATATATAGTACATAGCTAGGTGGCACAGGTGACGGTCCCAGGATAATTTTCTGGCCTTTGATTTTTCCGTGTTTGAAAATTCTTCCTGTGCACACGGGTTTTCTCTCCAGGTACTCTAGTTTCTTCCCACTGACCAAATGCATACGTTAGTGTAACTGGTAAATACATTGTCTTTAGGTGTGAGTAAGAGTGTGAATAGTTGTTTTTCTTTGTTAGTCTCTATGTGGCCCTGCGATAGACTTGCAACCAGTCCAGGGTGCACACCAGCTCTCACAGAATGACCACTGGAGTTAGGGACTAGCTCCACTACGACCCAGAAAGGAAAAGTGGGAAAAGAAAATGGATGGATTGTACATAACTAAAGCCATTTATACCAAAATTATGTATTATTTGTACATTGTCAAGCCAAACTGATAATTGTAGGTAGCAAAGTTAATCACTGAACTGATGATTTTCAATTTTCCACAACCAAATAAAAAGCAGTCGTCTGTAAGAAAACACTTGTTTTATGATACAAACACGAAGCTGCTCGTGTAACTCTATTTTATTTTGTTTCTCTGATCCTGCCCTCTGAACATGTCCACAACTGAATCTTATCGCACACCAAGACAACACAGCTGGCATTCGTACCCAGAAGACAGGATTCAACCGCCACGAACAGAATGTGTACTTCCTGCCTATTCTTGTGGTTGACAGTGGACCCCCCTCCCTCAGCTCAACAGGCACGCTGACCATCCACGTCTGTGGCTGTGACACAGGTGAGAGCGACACTGGAAGCTGCTACATTAACATCACTGTCACCTTCTGCATCCGCAGCACCAGTGCTAAAAGGTCAACATGTCATTGTTTTGCTTTGCAAACATTCCTTATAAGCTTAAAATTATAGAAAGCAAAACTAAACTAGGCAAAAAAAAAAAAAAAAGCAGACCCTTTAGAGAGATTTCAGGTTGTAAAATACTCCTGGCAAAAACATTAGTTTTATTTTTGATGAGGTAATGCTTAACCCTTGAAGCTATGACACTGGAGACAAATTAGCAGATAAAATGTTCTTTTTTTTCCACCACACAGAAGGAGCTATCCAGTCTTGTAATGCAACGGCCTATGTAATGAGTGCAGCTCTCAGTCCTGGGGCTCTTATAGCACTACTGGTGTGCATGCTCATCCTTTTAGGTAAGCAAATAAATGTACTCATGTTCAAAACATGTGCATGCATATGAATGCAACGTCGATGTATAAATGGGTGTTTCATGAATGGCTTGATACATTTATAAACAAAATTAATTTGGTCATATTTCTGGTATAACTGCTTAGCTGAACTACTGCAGAAGGTCTACTAGCTATATTTATATAATAATGAGATATTCTAGAGAAAAGGTAAGACTACAGGGTGCATGCACCTCATGATGGTAATTTATATCCTATGTTCAGAATACATGCAACTAGGCATGTGTGCCGTAATGGGTTGACCCCTTTTAGAAGTTATCCTTTAAAAAAAAAAAGAATAGCGTAAAAAAAAAAAGATACACTCTTCATATTTCTTTCATGTTCCTGTTACACATTTTGAGTCTGCTTTTATGAGGAGAAGGCTTTTGTTTAAAGCAAAGTGCATATGCTGCCTGGATTTATGAATGATATCAAGGCACTTTGATCCACAGAACACAGTCAATGACAGAATGAATGGGAGTGGAGTGGAAGTGGAGATTGCGGGGGGGGGGGGGGGGGGGGGGGGGGTAGAGAATGCAAACAGGCAAAAAAAGCTGCTTCAGCACTTGTATTACTCTTTGCAGGAGGCTTTAAATAGACAAGGCTTCTCAGACAAGCTGTGATTTTTATATAGACGTGCACACACTAACATACCCATGCATACACATGCCCATCCTCTCAGATACCAGAGATGGTTGGTATTGAAATATTTGAAAAATTTATGAGTCTGCTTCACTCTCTACCCCCCACTGTAAGTTTTTACATCCCACTCTTTGGTGACAGCAAGCAGCAACAATATTGTTAGGGTGTTTTGTCTCTCCCGCTTATGGCTCTGCACATTTTATTTTGTGCCGCCAGTAAATGATGGATGATGTGACACTATCTAGCTCTAAATGTGACTAACATTGTTCTCTTTTTCTTTTAAGAGCTTCTTTAATGAATGTTTTTAAAAGTCTGTATCCATTAACCAAATCATCTACTACAGTGAGCTTCAAAAATCTGAGTATTATTTATTCAACATAGCGTTAAAAGCCTCAACAAAAAATGTTGTGTACAAATCTAAAGTAACCTTCTGGCTAAAAGAAATGGCTGGTAGAGTGACTTTTTGTTTTGGTGATGTGCGAGAGTGCATCCCTTCAGTAGCTTCAGTTGAATATAGTTTTGTTTTTTTGTTGTTGATTTGTTTGCCCTTAAAATTAGTGCAATGCAAGATATACTATATAAAAATAAAAAAAAATAAAACAAAATTAGTTTCTTGTTAATTTTTATGTTTCCACTGATACTGTTCATTCGTACTCATCTGCTCACACAGACTCATGTTTGTGCTGCTGTTTGGCGTATTGTTTTTGTGCTGCTAGTGCTTATTGCATTTTTAGTAACATTTTTCTAAGTTCATATCATAGACCTTATTACTGTTTTTCTTTTACATTTTAATACTTTTGTTGGATGTAACTGGGACCCTGTTTACACAATTGTGTTCCACCCACATGTACCACATGTGGTGGAATGACAAATAAAGAATCCTGAATGCTACCATGTTGAATACAGTGGTACTAGTGTAATAATACGAGTCTCATATACTTTGTACCATTCTTTTATCAATTTTGTCTTAACATGCTTTTTATGCAAAGGCACAGGGGTTACACCTTGGACAGGTCACCACAAAAACGGCGAGACATATAATCATTCCTGTTCTCATACGTACAGTATATAGTGGCAATTTAAAATTACCAGTTAACCTACATGGAGGTTTTTAGTCTATGGAAAGAAACTAGAGTACCTGGAGAAAAACAGAAGCATGCAAAAGCCACACACAAAAGCCTTTTCCAGATTTGAACCTACATTTTTGGACCACTGTGCCATACTGTACTAATTGTAAAAAAAAGTACCCAATGCACCTCATCAAAGCATTGTAAGACTGGCTAAGATGTCACATATTTTAGTATCCATCATGCAGCCACTGAAGTCTCAGAGTAGTAAGGGTCAAGATAACTGGGAAAACCATGTTTTGACAACTATCATGTGGCATGAATAATAACACGAGCATCAGGCATATGACAGCAATCGTATTATCTCAAATGCATAAAGCACAGCACTTCACATTGCCTTTCCTTACTGTACATCCTGCACAAACGCCCAAACTGCTTGAGCACAAATGACAAATCACTCTACATCTGTATTTGCTGCATTACAATCCATTTTCTTTATGCACCATTATTGTGTGCACATTGTATTTTCTTTATATGCGCACTCTTGTGGCACACACAGCAACTAATCTGCTGGCCAGCTTTTTTTTTCTTTCTCCAGAGGCTGGACCACCTCTATTACATCAATTGCTGGATGATGAGAAAAACTAAAAACAAATTTCTGCCTAATTACCTTACAAACAAACAGTCCCTCTATCAGTTCCTATGTAGACCTGATGTGATGAATCCATTTTATTGCACTGCAGCATCTGCATGCATCCATTCCAATTACCTCCCATCTGCTTGTGATGAAGTCCCACGTGAGGGCAACCAGCGCAGCCCAAGGGGAAATTAACTGTCTTGTCAGGAACACTTATCGCAACATCTGTACACATGGGTATCAGCATTGTATAGATACAAGTAAGCTATGCACAGGTACATATGCTTTCCACAGACATATATTTTTTTATTTGCAGTGTTTTATTGACATTTTTTAAGGCTTGCAGACCTACTAGGTAAATAGTTGTTTGGTTGGTAAGTATTTAGGTATGTACAGGCTTAAGGTGCACTTGTTAAAGATGAAGGGTTTTGTATTTTTATCAGAATTCATTGTAATGACACACACACACAGCTTGAGCCCATCTACTAAAAAACGACCTAAAACATGACGTTTTCCACCCTCTATTACACTTTTCATTAGAGTGAATTTCGAGTAATTGTCTTAGAGCTTGTTTAGTATGCACCGCAGTATGTGCCACAGATTACCTCAAACCACGACTTTTTCTTTAGTCTCGTGGCAATTAATTGGGTCCATTCATTGAGAAGAAGAATAAACACAATGGTTAAAGACTTTGCTTCCCCAGTGGAGCCCAGCCAACAATGTAAAATGAGAACAACATTATCAATCAAAGGTTCTGCAAAAAATTCACTTTGAAAACCAACAAAGATTTTTAGTCTGGTCGCATATCTCGAGCTTCACTTGGATGTGTTTACGCTCCACTTGTAGGTCATTTATACCAAATAAAGAAACTTATTATAAACAGAAATATATCTACACATTTCATTACATATTTTTATTTTAAGTTGATGCTTTGGGGGAAAAAAAATAAAAATAAAAACGTGGGATTTTTTCCTATGCATACCAAACATACACTAAGATATCAACCTAGTTTGCGCCTTAAAATAATCGATCTACTGTATATTGTCTAAATGTTGTATTTAAAGTGTACAGATGGGGATCCTGATGGGACAGTGCAGCCTCCGATGTAATAGTTGATCTTTTTTCTGTTGGACTGTTATTTTTGGCAAGAGGTATCCATTCTAGAAGATTTATGGTGCTTACTTCCTAACGATATGTCTAAATTATGTTTAATTGGCATCTCTTTCAAGTAGTTACTCACTGTTCTTGTTTAAGGGAGAAAAAAGGTATTCTATGTGTGGGTATGGAGCGACACAGTCAATAGCTGGCTTCTGGAAACTAATTTTGCTGCCAATCAAACAAAGTAACTACAAGCTAAAAAATAAAACACCTCTTTGTCTTTTATCAGTGATTCACAGCAATAGGAATTCTTACAACTGATTCTATCTCTCTTTACCTTTGACATTTACTAAAAACTAACATGTTAATGATTAAAATGCATATAAAAAAAAAAAACGTTCATTACCAACTGAGATCTAAAGATGAAGAGCAGATAGTACATTTTCTTTTTGCTTAGTCATCAACAAAAAAGTGAAAGAAATAAAATAAAAGTTTCACCTAACACAATACTAACCTGTCACCAGAAAATTGCAAAAAAATAATTTAATTTAACTTGAATTTATTTAAAATAACTGCCTCATTTGCTTTTTTTTTTTTTTTTCTCGAAAAGTTGCTGTTTTTTTAAGATACTAAATCGCCACAGTATGAGATCTATGCAGCCTTGCCAACTGAATATTTTGAAATCTGAATTAAATATGTTGCCTTTTGTCATACATTTTAATTTTGTTATCGAACAAAATCAAATGCTAATTTAGAGGCTACAATTATGTAAGAAAAATATTCAGTTTTGAACTCTGAAATCAAAGCTACAATAATAATCTCAAATGTTTCACATAAAAAATAGTTTTTTTTTTCCCAAATTCATCATGCAAAGTGCATTTTGAGATACAGTTTACTATGTTAATATAATGGTAATTGTTTTCTCACTTTTTCACTCACATTTTTTGTTTCTAGTAAATCCTCTTTAGGACAGCTGGGTTGACTGGTTTCTATCCCAACCATCAAAAGAGCAAACTCAAAAGCACAGAAGACAGAGAACCATGGTTTTATACATTCATATTCAAAGTAAATTCAGAGACACCGACTGACCCAACGTGCACTTTTGAGCTGTGGAAAGAAGCTGGAGTAAATCCCTGCCTGCACAGGAAGAACATGCACACTCCACAGGAAAAGGCCTCGGCAAAATAAACTTTGAATTAGAAATGTTTTCTGTAAAGTGCAGTGCTGACCAATTGTACTTTATGTGCTTGTGCGTGTGTGGCATTGTATTTATTTATTTATTTATTTAGCTTTGAATTTGATTATTTTATTAACATTTTCAAGTTTTTCATTGAAACACTAACAACTCCTAAACCATGTTCACTTTATGCTTTCTATATTAACAATTTTAAATAAAATTACATGGGAACCCGTTTCCCTCCTGGTGTTTTATCTTATCATAACATGCAAGAAAAAAAAAAAGAATAATTAAAATAAAATAAGAAAATAAGATTAAACCTCCATGTGGTGTTGTGAGGATGTTGAGTGATGAGGCATGTTTCAAGTCTTTGTTGTAGCATGAATACAATAATTATTGTGTGATCATTTTTATCTGTTTTATTCTCTTTCCCTCTTTTTCAGTTCTTGTCTTGCTCATCCTAACCCTAAAACGCCACAGGAAGGGCCAGAGGATGACAGAGGACGAGGAGGACATGAGGGATAATGTCATCAAGTACAACGATGAGGGTGGCGGGGAGCAGGACACGGAGGCATATGACATGAGTGCTTTAAGGAACCTCTATGACTTCCCTGAGGCCAAGACTTGCGATTCTGGTCCAGACATCCGTTCGCTGCCACAATGGATTCAAGCAAACAGAGTGAGTCTTAGTGGCGATGGAGCAACAGCAGCAGCAACAGACTTCTCCCTGTTCAAAGGCTACATACGAAAAAAAGTGGAACAGGCTGACGCTGATCTGACGGTGCCGCCGTATGACTCTTTCCAGACATACGCCTTTGAAGGCACCAGTTCACCTGCACTTTCACTCAGTTCTATCCACACACTGTCGAACACCTCGGAGCAGGATTTCTCTTACCTCCATGACTGGGGACCACGCTTCAGGCAACTTGCAGGCTACTATGCTCCAGGAAATCGTGAGGAGGAAGGGTCCTAGCACAGCTTCTTATCTATATTGATACAGTTAAACTATGTATTTTCCTCCCATTTTCTAACTGCTCACTCTCTGGCACTCTACTGTCTTCATCAGAGCTAAACATGTGTACTCAATCAAGATAGAGTACCAGCCCTTTATTTTATTTTGACAGTTTCAACATGCAGGCTTTAAAACCATTTAAATACATTTTGTTTCCTGTCACTTTTTGTCCACTTTTTCATGATTAAGGTTTTCAGTTTGTAAGTGCTATTTTAGTAATACCATTGGAAAGTAGGAACGTGAAGCATTTAGCATAAAGTTGTTTTCTAAAACGAAAAAACTTTGTGATGAACTTTGACAGTAAGAAGGACAACATTCCTTATACAGGAGTCAACAAACAAAAAAGGCCCCTATATAAAAGAGGAACATTTATTTATTTATTTATTTATTTGCATATGTATTTATTTGTGCCCCGATTACAATGGCAACAATGACAAACTCGTATTAAGTGCTAACAAACAATGGGGGAGAAAGACATTTCAATGAAGGAAACTACAAAAAAAACAAAAACTGCTTTTCCAATATTTTGGTGGAGAAAAAACTAACAAAAATACATGTGGGCTGTATGGAAAATTACACTGTTAAATAAATATTTGTATTTATTTTCTATGATAAGTTTTGTAAAATCAAAGGGAATACAAATAAGATAAACAACTGTAAAGGAACAGAGAACTGCAGCATCATGAGCTAGCAGTTAATGGTAAGTCAGAACAGAAGAGACTGGTATACTTTTGCTGTAATTTAGCGATTTCTAAAGAGGGAATTCTGAAGGTGGGGAACTGAGTACAATTGTGTGGTCACGTCTTTTCTTACCTGCTCCGCAGCCATTGGTAAGGCAATAAGGCACAAACCACAATAGTGATTTAAAATTAAGAAGAAAACAGAGAAAAAGACTGTTTTATAGAGTTGGCTGATAACCAGCTTTGTGCCACGAGGAGCCAACATATTGCAGATTTTGTGTGAATGTGTATAATATGTTGAATTATTTTGTATTTCAAGATGTTTGGTTCAGTTTTTAATATTTTGTTTACTTTTGAGGGAGGGGTGGGGTATTTGTTCCTTCATAACGGTTGTGTTTAAATAGTAAGGACAGGTTTAAAGGGCAACACATGAAGAATTGATAACATTCACTTGATATCCCAACTTATTCCATGTTGACCTTAACTTGCAAATGTATGGAAAATATAATACAAAAAAAAAAAAAGACCAATAAATATTTAACATTTTTTGGTAAACCTCAATGAGTGTGATAGTCTAACTTACTCAGTAAATATGTTCAGTAAATGAGATCGCTGTGACAAAGTGAAGAATATACCCCGGTATTAGTAATTGTTGTGTGTCAATTGTTTGCTGAAGACATCTACTGAATTATGAACAGAGATAGTTTTTGTTTACACCAGGGGTAGATTCAGAGCATGGTTGTCGATGGAAACAAACACACCATATGACAGGACTCAGCCAAACAAATAATTTTATCTCAGTTTGTCTCCCTCCTGGCTGTTTTCTGCCAAACCCCTGTAATTGTTATAGTCACCAGAGAATGCTGAAGCATTCAAACAGGCTTTCATCTGCTCAGTAAGACACTGAATTCACCTTCTATGACTCTCCTGCCAGTGAAATTTGTTTTGAACACATATTATCTAGGATTGCAATACAAAGCAATTTTAGCTAAATGACAATAACTTTCACTTTCATTGCTGTTATAATCAGGTATGTTCTCTTTTCAGCACAAAAGTGATGGCAAAGTTGCCAGCACTACTGCACTTAATGGTGTTACAATAGCTGTGTGGTAACAGATATTCAATATTTTCATTATTTGTTTGAATATCCTTTGAAACCATTGGAATCTGTTGGCAGTGCATATATATCACGTTGAAAAGTGAAAAGTTATTAAGTTAAAATGAAACTCAAATTGATTTTACCATTTCAAATACATTTTACCTTTCTGTCTTTTTTAGTATGAGGAATGCATTTTTATGCTGTATTGAGCTAAACATTATCTGTATACAGGTTTATTTTTGTATTTTTATAAACAAGAGGTTTGGTCTTTTATTACTGATCATTTAATATTCTTTGCCTAAGAGCATTTACTTTCTAACAAAACAAAAGTTGGATTAATTCTGGGGCAAAGGAAATACACTCATGTAGGTCAGCACGAGTGTGTTCATTACTGCCCTAAAAGTAGGATTGGACTAAAATACTGTATGTGCCTTTAATATAATTCTGTACCGCACAGTGCTGCCTAGATGACAGCAGAACATGTGACTAAAGCTGTGAGGTAATATATGGTACTGCAGAAAACAAGAAGGATCCCAATGTTGTAACTGTTCTATAGTATTGCCACAGCAAACAATCCTTTTGTCCATCTTCAGTCACTGTCAGAGCATGTCATTCATTAGTGATGACTTGCACATGTGAACATATGAATGTGTTGCCATCAGTCAGAATAACCCCCACCCTACCCCAACTCCAAGGGCAACAAGAAGCCAGCCATTAGTTATGCAGATGGACATTTGGTGATTGACAGTTCTCTGGGGAATAACGGTGCACACATTAAATATCCTCTTCTTTTCCCTTTGTACTTGGCTTGATAATGGCAACTGATTAAACAATGGGGGAAGAGAGGTGAAGGGGTTGCACGTTGGAAGGGGGACAATGAATTGTGAATGGCACAAAATATCAGTCATATGTAGCTCAACAGCTATTAATTATTTTAATTTCCAGAAGTTTTGCCTTCAATGTGGTAAAATCAAATCCATCTTGCTAAAATATGCTGCATAAACAGACCTGGCTTACATTCCAAAGTAAGTGCAGTTCACTGACAAGCTGACAAAATAGCATGAGGAGATTATTTTACTTAGATGGCAATTGACTCTTTTTACAAAAACAGCACTCAAGTAGAAAATTGTAGTGTGTGTTCTTTAGTCATAAAAATGTCTTGTTTCCAATGTTCAGACAGGAATTTCATTCAAAGCCTGGATAATGATCATGACGTTCTCTGGTATTTTTGCCATAGTCTTTGTTGTGTTAGGATATCATCAGGGTCTGCAAACGTGTTCATTTTTGAACAAGAAAAAAATGTGATTTATTTGTATTGCACTTTTAAAACTAAAATAGAAGTGAACAGGCACTTAAGACGAAACACAAAGGAACACAGAATAATGTTACAGTAAAGACAAAGTAAAATAAAAAAAATAAAAAAAGAAAGATTAAGCATGGAATGATAACTCAAGTTGCAGCAGACCTGGAGCATTTCCTACAGCAAGAGGTAAACAACACCCTGGACCAGTTCAGGGTTTGTGACAATGTTCATGCTTAAATACTGACATATGAAAAATGCATCATATTAATATATATATCTATGCTATTATATTTACAATGTTTAGTGTATGTTTAACAAAGGCTGAGCTATTTGCAATGCATATGCTAATTCCTTAAGAGAGTCAAGCAAACAAATTGTCTTGTGCAACTTGGAATATGTTTAACATACAGTACATTAAAAGTCATTTAAAATATATATGAAAAATAAAACTAACAACATACAAAGTATATGCCCTGATTCATGCTGAATATTCCAGGTAGAAAACTCTTAACAAGGTTAAGTCAGGTCCTCTGGATGGGTTCTTCTTTGTTGAAATATTTTGTCTTTTATCCAAAACGCTTCTTCAGACTGAGGAGCTGCAATCAAATTCAGTCTTTGCTGGTGACAGCCAAAACTAGCTGTTCACAAAAAGGACCATTAGTCTAACGACTGTTAGTGTCAGTGCCCTGATGGCCGCTTGCTATTCACAGAGGGCTGAGTGATATTCAAAACAACAAAATTGCAAAGGGGTGACGGTAAGACACAGATGCACCTGCCCTTGTATAACAATGTTTGAATTCTCTTCATAAAATTGGCTTCCTTTATGTCTCTTTTGAACCAACATTTCTCTCTATCAAAGATGTGCACATCTTCATTCCTGGGAGTGACCCCTGGCTTGCAGATGAGTTTAGACTGCAGTCCTGGCCTGATGATGCTGCTCTTCTCTGCTGGACCATCATTTTGGCCAGTGGCTGCTTTGTTTCTCTGATGTAGAACTGATCACAATCCTCCTGACACTGAACAACATACACACTCTGTTTGTGCCAGTGGACTGGGTCTTTGGGATGAACCAGTCTTTGCTTTAATGTAGTTTGGGTTTTGAAAGCCACTGGGATATCATGTTTAGAAAATAAACTTCTCAGTTTCTCTGAAACTCCCTCAGCATACAGAACGACCACTGGTCTGGGTATGGGGTTGGGGTCCCCCTTTTCATCAAATGACTGGTTGGAGTCCTGTTTGAGATTCTTATCTGCTTTCAGTAAGATAAGAAACATCCACATAAGGACATGCACACTGATCCAGGGCCTGTCTTGTGTGGGTTTTCTTCTCCTCTCTGGCTCCTGAGTTTGTGGGGATGCAGTCTGCTCTGTGGTACAGAGTCCTGATGACTCCTAACTTGTGCTCCAGTGGTTGATATGAGTCAAACCACAAGTACTGGTCTGTGTGGGTGGGTTTGTGGTAAATATCAGTTTCCAAATGTCCTCCATCAGAAAATGAGACTTCACAGTCCAAAAAGGCCAACTGTCATATTTTACATAATGTGTGAACTTTATATATTTGTCCACAAAGTTGATATGATCAGTGAAATGTTGGACTTCCTGACAATAAATTTTAACCCAGCTGTCATCATCATACCTGAACCAATGACGGTGGTGTCCCTGAAAACGACACCAAGGCTCTCTTTTCTACTTCCTTTATGTACATGTTGGCAACAATTGGAGATATTGGGGACCCCATAGCACACTCATATTTCTACCTATAATATTGCCCCCCATATGTGAAGTAGGTTGACTTCAGGCACCATTTCAAGAGTTGGCACAGTTGCTCAGTGGAAAAGGTTGTCCTACTTCTAAAAGTGGTGCCTGATTTTAACCCTAAA